GCACCCCCCCCCCCCCCCCCGTCCCCCTCCCGGTCTCGGTCGCAATGGATCCACGAAAAAAAAAAGTCGTTTTTAATCTCTCGTCGCGCCCCAATAACGCGCGTTACCAATAACCTCTCATCGCAACCACCCTCGCGACTCTTTAAGAAGCGGAAAACGATATAGCGATTCGATCCACGTACATGCAGCGATACACTTTGGAATCTTTGTAAGAAAAACCGTGCATGTCTTTACAGAATGATTACGGATGTTTGAAAATCTCACTTCGATACATATTTTACAGAGAGAGAGAGAAAGAGAGAGAGAGAGAGAGAGAGAGAGAATAATCACTCTTATTTCAAAACGATTGATGCTACACCTGTTGAAGATGTTGTTTTTTCTAGCACATCCTACATAACAAATGAGATATACTCGCGTGTATGTTTTCTCAATCTCAATTTGAAATTATTTCAGTAGACGTTATCAGTGCTATTTATGTCTTGTTCTATCTTTATCGTAATTTATTAAAACGCAAAACAAGAATAAAAAGCGCAACAAAACAAATAGTACATCGAATGTATCCTTGGTATTTCTTTTGTTTGAATTATTATATTTATAAAAGAGAAAAAGAGAGAAAGAGAGAGAGAGAGAGAGAGAGAGAGAGAGAGATTGGACAAGTGTCATCGGAAGCATTTTAATCCCGCCTACGCAAAAACATCATGCATGTTTAATTAATTGACGGCGCGAGGCGATAATCGTCTTATTGGTGAGTTTAGCATCTGTCTGTTTAGCATACTGAAAACTTTTGTTTCATTATCCTCGCAGACTTTCGGCGTGTTGCATCTTCGAATCGAAAATTGCTGTCGAATATGAAGAAGGGAATTCTCTTGGTAATTGCCCTTTCTGTCGCGACTTATGTCGATGGCAGAGTTTATTACCTGAAGAATCTAGATGATACGCGAGACAACAACGCGATTTATCCGATCGAAGAACAGCAGGCTTCTCGCGATCTGGATCTGTCTTTCTCCGCGGGAGATTCCCTTGAGAACGAGAATGTCATATCTCCGACTAGAAAGGTCAGTAAACGTTCAGAAATTCTATAATCGGAAAGCTATTCTATAATCGAAAACGAATAAAAGAATATGCTAAGGTCACAAAGTCTCAAGTGTGCGTTAAAATTAATTTTTCGTATCTTTTTCGTGATTTTCAGGATTAGAAAGGAACGTCGTTATCATTATCGTTATTTTTTTCAATACCGATTGTGTATTTTTTTTCTATCTGTAACGATAACGATAACGAATTCAGTTGTTATACTTAAAATCTCTATTATCTTTATATCAATTATATCTATTCGATACATTACATTATTCTTGATTGAATAGAAATATTTTGTTTTAATAAAAATTTAAATGTTATAAAAAAATATTATATACTTTTTATCTTAGATTGCATTCCAATTGCAGTCGTTGTCAATACTGAAAATTTGTTGTGCTTATATACACGTGTAACGTAAACTATATAAATTTGCAGTACTAGCAGTAAATAGACTCTATGTACTCTTGATAACGACGTTAATGTTTATAAAACAACAACACGTGTAATGAAAGCTTGATTGTATAACAAAGTATGGATTATTAATTGTAAAAATTGTAAAATTTGATATCTTATTCTTTAACATTATGAAAAAGTAATAAAAAAACAGGGCTCGGTCGTATTTCAAATAAATTTATTGAAAATATATATTTTAATATATATTTTAAAA